AAAGTTTTCCAGACGAATGTGAGTTCTATGTACACGGAGATTTGCAATGGTGGGCAGGAGAACCATAATTGTGATTATACCAACAGAAACCATCAGTTGTAGTTTGGCCCGGAGTGAGAGACCTCGGGCGTCCAGTAGTCGAAAGACTAGGTTTTTAGACGCGAGTGGCTCGAAGCTGGACAATTTTAAGCGTGAGGGCATCAAGACATGACACGACGTCTTGGATAATAGGTAGGGCCGCGTAATGACTAGCGGGAGGTGTGAATACCCACATCAACGCGCGCTGTGTCATCAGTCAAAATGTCGCGAACTGGGGTTAGTTTAACTCGCATTTGATGACAGACTGGATGCAGCCCTCTTATTGGTTAGAAGCGATAAGGCCGCGAGAAAACTTGCGGTCAGTGGAGTAAGAGCCATGAGTCGTTTGCAGATAAAAGCACGTGCTTATTCAAAGTCTTATTTAAAAGTTGTCAAGTTCATGCAAGGCATATTTAACCAAGTAAAACAAAGAGGCAGTTCAGTGTCACTACAAAGCGGCCACCTAGTAAAATAGGACAACGATTGCCTACTCAAACGGCTCCTATATGAAGATGCCACTACGGGTACTAACCGACAAGGAAGACAAAATCGAATCTATAAGGGCACTTTCAAGAACGTTCTGAAACGTCTGCAAATCAGCCCGGCAACATGGCAAAACTTCGCTCATGACCAACCGAACTGGATAAAAGTGATTAAGATTTGCCCAGCAATTCACGAAACCAGCCGGATCAGCGCTGCCAAAACTAAAGGAGCGTTTTGGAAGTCACAAGCCCCTCGGATTCACATCGCCAATGCTCAGACATTCCCAATACACCTATGCTCCTAACACACTTTCCGCAGGTTAATTAGTCTCCTCAGACATCGTCAGACACAATGCAACGACATTCTGGCGTCGTCAACATCTGCATCGAGAAACAACCCTACTGTCACTCCAAAATGGCGGCCATTCCTACCACCAATGATAAAATTCCCAGGCCTTGCTATTTTCGTCCAACGGCACAAGTCCTTTTCCACAACTCCCACGTCGATCACATCAGTGACCACAATCGCCACCACCTATTTAAAGATCGCCATCAATGAGACCACATTTTGCTTTCACCACCGCCAGCACTATCACTGCCCTCTTCCACCAGAAGCCGCGACTCGATCTTTACCTTTTCTCATTTCGATCGCACGTTAACCTAACACATCGAACAGCTCAGCCACTTAAAAATCAATCGCACAAAGACTGTTGAATCAGTGTCTGCAGCACGAGCACAGAGCTGAGACCACCGAATCAGCTACCTTTGCGCATTCTCTCGACGCATAGGCCTAGTCGGTCACACGTGCATCAACTAAAGCGAAATCCCCTGCGATGCTGACGCACCAAACGTGCCTTGCACATCCGCTATCAATCCCACTCCACGCCCTCCTATGAGGGTCAGTCAGTCAGTCAGTGGCCACCACAAGTAAAAACAGCATTACCATCACCACTATAGTGAACTTAGCATGTCCCGACTTATACTAACTGTCACTACACCTTAATCACACGCGTGAGCGTGTGCGGTCACTTGCTTATCCATCACACAGAGACTGGTGAACCATTGCCCGAGGGTCCAGATATACAGTCATCGGTTCCACCTCAACTGTCCACACAGTTAATGAACCGTTATCCCCCACATGGGCCTGCTTGACCATTAGCACCTCCTCGAAAATCTGCGGTAAATCACCTCCCACCTCCCACGTCATCATATAGTCTCTTCATAAACCCATGTATCGCACATGCGCTGCCTCATCACCATCAAACATAGGCACCTTTTGCATAAATGAGAAGTGTGTTCTCTGCCTACTCTCCACATGAATTCTCAGTTATATGTGAAATCATGCTGCATCCATAATGCCTTACGCAAATCCTGGTCAAGTGCAAGCTGTGGCCAAGTGATATATGATAGATGTAAAGGAACGCAAATCTAGGTTATGGTTGGGAGTTCGAGCCGCTGTTCCTTTTATTGCTGTGCGAAATGCTGGTCAAATGTAGGCTTTGACCAGGTGGTGTATAATGGGTTATGCGACACGGAGGCCCAGTCTGTGTGAGCTGGGATGCGTGCTTCCCCTTCCATCATTTTTGCTATGTTGAAACCCTGGTTCAATCTTCTTGACTATGTCTTTCCATCTGTTGTTAGTGGATAGTAAGGAACGAGAAGCTGTGGTAGACTCTGCGCAAACCTGCCTCACTATAAGTCAGTTCACTTGCTTTCATCTATACCATACATATCTCATGGAAAAGCAACATACTTTGTAGCTTGGAATGTTGTACGAACTAAATGGAGCCGGAAGCTGTCATTCTACGAAAATACCGAATAGCATACGGATTCTGTCCACTGTCTAGTGTGAACTAACATGGCCCTCCCCAATGACATTTAAATTTTTTTTATTTTGACC